GGGGGGGGGGGGGGGGCAGGAAGAGCCAGTCTGAAGTCCATCTGGAGGCCAGGTACTGTACAGACTAAGAAAGATATGTCAGGTGAGGTTCCCCTGCTACTATAGTTTACAAGAGATGGTACTACTTCCCACTGTTAACGCTGAGTACTGGGTGGCAGTTAATAATCTGGCAACCTCTAGGGTGGACTCTGGGCAGAAGAGCACCTTAAAGGGGGCACTAGTCTTATCCCTGGCAGAGGAAACATTACCAAAAGTTTGTGGAACTGAGGCCTGTTCCATGGTAGGGAAGACCGGGCTCTTTAACCCTGGTCAGCAGCTAGTCCAGGAGTGGAGCTGCAGAAAAACAGACAAACGGATGATCTCCTTTGCTCTGGTAGCCCCTGCAGACAAGCTGGTTCCAAACGTACGGGCATTGCCTCCCCTTTGGATTAAACCAGCAAGGCCAAGAAGGGAACATTGGTGTGCAGGCAACTCAGTGTCTGTGCCTGGAAAGGTCATGCCAGCTTTGTTTTTGTCTTTCTACATTCAGCATATTCCTCCCTCAGTACCATTCTGCCTTGTGAGACAGGCAGACACCTACTACTCTAGCTGGATTCAAAAAGGGACTGGACCAATTCTTGGAGGAAAAGGGCATCAGCAGCTATTGAACATGGCAGTTAGGGGCACAGCTTCTGAATCAGGACTGCCTAGACCTTAAATGGTGGAGGCTGCAAGTGAGAGAGGAACAGTGGGGAAAAAAATGCTTGTCATACCCAGCCCACTCTCCCTTTCAGCATCCGCCCTCTACCGCTGCATGACACTGGCCTACTGTGTGTCCCGAAAGATGGTGCGCTTAGGCCCATTGCCAAGTACTACTGTAATTTGTGATGGGGCTAAGCCTGCCATCTTTTGGCACATTCAGTAGGCTGGTGCTCCGACGCCACTGTGGCATCAGGATCAGGAAATATATAGGACCCTTTTCAGGGCAGATGAACAAACTACCCTCAGTGAAGCATCACCCCAACAGCTGTACACATGCCTAGGGCAAAACCAAAGAGCGTTAAAGGAGATAACATGGCGGGGGCGAAAGCAGGAAGAGGTAGTTAGCTGTGGTAGACTGAAGTCAGTCTGGGGGCCAGATACTATACAGCAGCAGCTCCCAATCTGTGGTACAGGTACCACCAGTAGTATGTGTTAACAGGCTTATTTTAATTACACTATATGACAAACATTTAACAGCAGTACTTAAGGTTGTATTGTTTTAAATTGGTGGTGTGCAATCTATCAGTTTGGGAACCACTGCTGTAGAGACTATTAAGCCTCCCTTAAGAAGGGAGCCCAGTGGGGGACACATCAACAAACTGTGCATGACACAAGAACCAGGACCCAGGGTCTGACCCACAAAACAGCAGTGCCTATGTGTGCCTAAATATGGTAGACACACAATGGAGCAGGAGCTCTTCTCAATCCAAGCTCGCTTCAGCACCTGTAGGAGGATATTGAGGGGAGGGTGGGGCGGGAAACGTACGGTTATGGGGGGGGGGTAGGGTGCGTAGCTGCCTCTGCTCGGCCTACAGGGATGTATGGGAGCGAGGCAGCCCTAGCAGAACGCCCTGCATGAGCCCAGGCTGCGAAAGGCGACGCAGCACCCCGCCACCCCTCAAGCTCCGAACCCGAACCCGAACCCGAATCCAGCCCCGACCCCGGTCTCACCAAGCTGGCGAGGTCCTGCCGGGAGAGATGCGGCTGCCCCAGAGTTACTCCTGCCTCGTCCCCCGCCATCTTGCTCAAGAGGAAGCGAGGCGTCCACCGCGCCCGCCTGACCCCGTAGCCAGGGGGGCGGTCTCGCAGCGCCACAGCCCCTCGGCCGGGGGGCAGGAGCACGGCCGGGAGCGGGGACCGGGCCGGGCTCCTACTCCCTGCGGCTCGGCCAGGGGCGTGTTGGCACCGGCTCCGAGTCAGGCACGCAGACGGGCAGCCCCGCCAAGGCCCCCGGCGCCGGGTGATGCAACTGCGGGGGGGGGAGGGGCCACTCTGGCCACGTGCGCCGGGGTATGGGGTGTTGGCGGCGCTGGGCTGCAGGTCTTACAGGCTGAGTGGTTCTGATGAAGGTATTGTTGCTTGTCATCAGTACAGTCTTGCTGCTCCGCCTTGGGCGGGGATGGGGATGTTTTCCCGCCCCGCGTTTCTCTCTCCGAGCCTTTCTCCGTAAAGGCTAGAGCCTCATTTGTAAAAAGCTTCTTAGGTCATCCGTGGTTGTTTTTTTGGTAGAGGTGATATCTTTTATTAGACCCACTATATATTTGCAATGAACAAAAAAAAATATTTTATTTGCAAGCTTTCAGGCGAAGGAGAATGCAGAGGTTGTAAAACTTCTCCCAGGTAGAAATGAAACTTAATATTGCAAACGAGAGTTGAAGGATGTTATCGATTCCCCTGGGTAGAAAAGTGCATTTTAAGTAAATTAAGCTCAAATAAAAGTCGGAGCAGTTTATTTTCCCCAGGGGGACTTCTAGCTCCCTTTAATTCTCCCACGCCATATGAAGTTGCATTTCTACCTGGGAGACATTTTACAATCTTTGCATTCTCCTTTGCCTGAGGAAGGGCACCTGAGCCTGAAAGCTTGCAAATAAAGGATTTTTTTTT